GGGGAGTTCTGGGAGTTGAAGTCCACCCATCTTAAAGTTGCTGAGGTTGAGGAACCCTGCTGAAGAACATGAACAGAAGTGATATGGTCCTAAACCTGACTCCATTCCTAGAAAATAGCTGCATTCACACAGTACATGAAACTAGGTTGATAAATTCACTCTTTTTCTGGGTTGTCCGATACACTGAATCATAAGTAATCAAATGGTCTGTGTTGGTCCAACATGCTAAGTCACAAAATATTTAACATTTGGAAGTAGAGTTTGAATTTAAGAGTGTTGTGCAAATTCAGCCAAATCTGCTTCTGGACTGACTTTGCTGGGCTCCCCTCCTGCCACGTCTGTGTGTACACCAACCTGACACCTTCCAAGTGTGTGAAAGCACAACACCCAGGTAGTTTGGTCAAAGGAAATTATGGAGCTGTAGTTCGACCTGTATGGAGGGTGCTTGATTGAGAACAGTTGCTGGATACTTTCTGTAACCTCCTTTCTCTTGAACTTCTTATGTGGTAGGGCAGCAAAAACTAGCCTTCCCCAAAGAGAGAGGCAAAGGATGTTTAGAGTGCAGTTGCTGAATTGTTTTGTGACTTCTTTCAGCTGAGTGCGGGGGCAGCATTCGAGGTGAGTCCTCAGGAAGGATCCTGTCCCCAGGGTATCCCACGCCGTATGATCACAATCTCAACTGCGTCTGGACAATTGAAGCAGAGGCTGGTTGCACAATAGGGTAAGTCCAAAGACTGGAAAAGATTAGATCAGCAACACCTCACAACATCCTGCACACTTCCTGCCACTGTGAAGTTGAATCAATTACGTTGTGCTGTGAGCAGGGGACAGGTGTTTCTATGTGGGGCCACTTCTGCTCTGCAATTAAAAATAAAGAAATAGATGCATGAAAATGCCGGTGCCAAAATAACCCCAACTTCTTGGCAGGAATAGCTGAGTCCTACAACCTGTTTGAATTATGCAAATTGATCACATTTGCATGATTTCTCTTGCTTTGCATACTTCATTTTGCAGTGTTTACTATTTGGCATCGATAAGAGGAGGATAAAAAAGTAGGGCTCAAGCTTCATAATCAGCAAATTAATCAGCTATACATCTTTAAAAATAAGATTTTGTGGATTAATCAGGGTAGATGGGCTAGTTTTAATTGGTCAAACTTAATAATATATTTGAAGACGGTCTGGATTTTGTGCATTGTAGCAACAGAGAATGGGAAAACAGGAAAGAGACACCCGATTGTAAGTTCTGAGACTCTCACAGTGGCTTCCCCGCTCTCCTCTTGGGTACTAATCACATCCATACCTGCACAGCTTCAGATATGCTTAGAATATTGATTGCTGCCAGAGGGATGCAAAGCCCTTCCTGAGGAGCTTAGAGGAGCACACCCAAACACAAGCATTATAATTCCGGCCTGAACTGTGTAACATCAGCATGACAGCTGTCAAGGGTGCGACTTGAAAAAGATCTTGCTAGATAGAACAAAAGTGCTGGATCCTCTCTTGAAAACCTGCTAAATTTAGCAAGTTGCATCCACTGAATCCTATCAGCCCTTCAAGGTAGATCAGACTAGGAAACCAATGCCGTGTAGGTCAATACTACTTTTATTAGAAAGCTATAGGAACAGAATCTTGCAAGTCTGAATGGGCTTCCCACCTCCCTCCCTTTATCTTTGTGGGAACTTGGGAGGAACTTGTCTGAGACAATTAGTCACGTTACATTCTTGCCCTAGACTCAGGCCCTCTTATCTGACTATTGCTTTGGTGGCGGCTCTTCCTCCTACCCCTCAAGGCCATATCCTCTTTCCTCTCCAACTCCAGAGATTTTGTCAGAATGATGAGATGTGCATTGTGATGTTCTGGTACAAGTTCCTCCCCTTATATACATACATACATACATACATACATACATACATACATACATACATACCTATCTATCTATCTATCTATCTATCTATCTATCTATCTATCTATCTCTTTCTATATTTCTGTATTTCTATATTTCTATATTTCTATCTTATCCCCGCCCATCTCTCCCCAGTGGGGGACTCTGGGCGGCTCACAACATATTAAAACAATACATAAATATACAATTAAAATTTATAACAGGACACATTTACAAAAATAAAAGGAAAAAAATCCAGGAGGCTGATGGAAGCCACACCAGGCCTCTAGGGGGCTAGCCAACCCCACATCTGATGACCTCCCTCCCCACCCCAGTCCAGATGGCAGAGCCAGGTCTTCAAGTCCCTCCAAAAGGCCGGGAGTGAGGGGGCCGGTCTCACCTCCGGGGGCAAGATGTTCCAAAGGGCGGGGGCTACATATATATACATATGTGCAACTTCACAATGCCCATACGAAAGGGGTGGAATTTACCCTGTAACTTTACAAACATTTGCCCTGCCCCCCAGATACTCATTTATTGACTTCATCTGGCTTGCTCTCCTCCTGTCCGTACTTCTTTTTCTTCATCCATGTTGGGAGTTTAAGCAAGTCCCTTTCACACTTCAAATCACATACGACCTTTCAGATCTGATTGGGTTGCTGGTATGCTCTACAATTTGGGCATCCCATTAACAGAGCAAGTGGAACTGTTCCTTTTTTCACCCATTTCTCTATACAGGTAGTCCTCACTTAACGACCATTCATTCAATGTCCATTCAAAGTTGCAATGGTGCTAAAAAAAGCTACTTACAACTGATCTTCACACTTACAACTGTTGCAGTGCCTCTGTAGTCACATGATCGCAATCTGGGCATTTGGCAACCAGCTCACACTTACAATGGTTACAGCGTCCCAGGGTGATATGATTGCCATTTGCAATCTTCCCAGCAAGCTTCTGGCAAGCAAAATCAATGCGGAACTGCGTGACTTGCTTAATGATCATATGATTCACTTAACACAAAAAATGTTGTAAAATCGAGTGCAGTCACATGATGCCTCGTTTAATGACTTCCCCTCTTAACAACAAATTTTTCCAGTCCCTATTGTGGTCATTAAGTGAGGACTACCTGTACAAAATACTTTGGGAACCCTCACCTTGCGCTTGTATGTATGTGAGCAATCATTTGCAGACATGCATCACTTCTGAGCCACTTCCATTCAGTGCTCATGTAGCCATCAGTTATTCGTTGGTTTGGGGTATTTTTATGCTTCCCATTCTCTTAATGGCCCTGGGCGGCTTACAGAGATACAGTTTTTAAAAAAGAATACTGCAAAACCAATCTTAAAACAGTATTAAAGCAATACAACATATTAAAACAAGAAAGCTTTTTAAAAAGCTGACTGATGACAGCTGCTCCCAGCTTGGCGCTTTCTAGATTCTGCAAACACAGTATTGCTCAGGTTAGCTCAGAATTCTGGAGCTGGAAGGCCAGTTGAAACAACGAAGCATAAATACGATTTCTTTCCAAGAATGTAAAGGACTAGGAAAATCCTCATTCATGTCCATGTTCCTCCTGACATCTCTTTTCAGCAGCAATCAGCATGATTTAATTTATATTCCCAAAGTGAGATTTCTATTGAATTCTGCTTTATTGAATGCAACTTAGGAAAAAAACTTAATCAACGGGGTGAAAGCCAAGTCAATAGCTGTTGCCAGCTTTGGTTATCCAGTTTTGCTTCTAGTTCTACATGCGTACAGCATGCAAAGTTTGGAACATCTTGCCCCCAGAGGTGAGACAGGGCCCCTCACTCCTGGCCTTTCGGAGGGACTTGAAGACCTGGCTCTGCCATCTGGCCTGTGGTGGGGAGGGAGGTCATCAGATGTGGGGTTGGCTAGCCCCCTAGAGGCCTGGTGTGGCTTCCATGGGCCTCCTGGATTTTTCCTCTTCCTTCTTTTCTGTGTAAATGTGTTTTTTAATAAATTTTAACTATGTATTTG